TGGGCTGCTTCTCTGGTTCTCTCTGGCTGACAAGACTCTGCTCCCCAGCTCAGCTCAAGCTCCTGCTCTCTCCTTAGCTCAGCCCCACTCTGTCTGACCCAGGCAATTTCAGCTCACCCAGAAAACAGGACCCCCCGGTCTCCCGACTCCCTCATTCGCCTGCCCGCCTTGTCAGTCAGGCTGACCTAGAGCATTGGCCTCTCCCCATTGCTCCTGGGGACTGTCAGTCTCAGGGTCCTGATTTCCCATCGACCCTTCCTCTTTTCCTTTTGGTACTGGGAACTAGCCAACCAAAAAACCCCAGGAGTTTTAGTAAGGGACCAACAGTCCCCTTATATTCAGTAACCAACAGATCAGCTGTAGGCTGTTCCCTTTGTTCCTTCTGCCTCCTTCTGGATGGATCTCTAAAGTACATAGTGACTCTGAAACCAAGAGGCCAGCTAAGTGTTTCAATTTACCAGGAGAGATTGTGTGTATGTGTTTCAATTCTGCAATCCTATGCCATTCTCACTAAGTGAGCAGTGACTGCATGAAGTACAGAAACAAAGTGGATATTTTCAAGGCTGAAATGAAATAACTTTAAACAGGAGGAAACGATGCTTCCAACCAACGAGTGGATCAATCCCTGCTGGTTGTAAAACTAAGCTGTCTCTATCGTCTGTAACAGAAACCAAATGCCCGTTAGCATTTCTGAGACACCTTATCAGCCACGACATAAGTCTTTCCCGGCAGATCCCTTTGGGGAAAAAGGCTGTTCTCTCTGCTCATCCTGGTTTCATGGTTTTCAGTGGCTCAATTGATGTTCTTCAAAAGACCCCCGAGAATGTCGGACTCATGCTAAGTTTTCAGTACTCTCAGAAGAAAGAATAAAACAGGAAGATCCTAATGGAAATACTCAGTCGTACGTGGTATCTTGCCAGACAGGGACTTGCACTGGAAGACCATTATCCTGAACAAGCTGAAAATGGGCCTTACCTGGAGAGTTCAACTGCAGTTGTATTCAGCTGCTTTGCTTGCAGACAAATGTGATCCTGGTATTTCAAAGGGGCTGAAAAAGAGTCAAGACAAATTCCCAAGCCAAGTTATTCAAAATGAGATAATGGACATGGTGGCTCTTAAAGTGGGGAGGGAGATTTCTGAGAGGGTTTCTGGGCAGTGGTATACAGTGATGATGGATGAAACAACAGATTTCTCCAACAAAGAGCAAGTGGTTTTACGCCTACAATATGTGGGTGATGAGCTGACTGTGCATGAAGAGTTCACTGGATTGTACAATGTGGCCTCCACATTGACAGAGGTAATGATATCAGTTATTAAAGGTATTATTGTGCCTAAATCTGAGGATCAACAACTGTCGTGGACAATGCTGTGATGGTGCCATTAATATGGCAGATTGTATCAGGTGCAGCAACCAGATTGCAACAGGAGGAATCACGAGCATGTCAGGATGCTATTAAAAATAATACTTGTTGCAGTTTCAGGAGTAACTGCACCTATATTCCCCCTTGAGGGCATACACTTAAAGTTTTAGGCTTCCAGCCATCACCTGTCTCTGGGCAGGGTCCTTTGTCCCACTCCCTTCTGCCTGGGGGGTGGGGTTTAATGCTGCACAGCTCCCTGCCTTACACTGTGATATCCCCAGCAAGCCAGTCTGCCTGCAGGCCAGTGCCTGTGCTTTGCTTTGTCTCTGAAGGCGATGACCAGTGTATTGCCAACACTTACAAGCTATAACCCAGCTCTTTCTAGCCAAGCACCTTTATTCTTGAGGTAAAAGCATCACAGAGAAAACGTATAAAAACAATAAACAGATGTAAACACCCACTAAACATACCAGGAGTCACCCTCAGTCTTATGGGGCCAAGGTCAAGGCCCTCCCAACTCTTCAGCAGGATTGGGGCCCCTTGGACAAAAGTTCACATCCATTTGCCGGATTGGAGAGAAGGCCCTGGATCAGTTCAAGCTCATCCTTTTATACCGAAAGCCCTTCCTTCATTTTCTAATCTGTGGAAAACCCAGCTTGAGCCAGTATATGCAAACCACCCCAGGGTGGTGCTTCTCTGGGGTTGTTTCCAATCCCCAGGAGTAACCACCCCCTCTGTTTTTAGTTCCTGAAGGCGCTGTGATAACCCTCCCCCGGAGAAGAACACAATCATATAGAAACCATTCATAAGTTTAATACAATGGTCCCCAAAGCTACTGCATGGGGTTGCAATGTCTGTCACAATCCTATCCTGCAAGATACTCTTGAAACCATTTACGAAATTACAGAATGAAGTAAAAAACTCACCCAAACAAGATACTGTACTTCAGGACATAAAATATGAAGTGTTCAGTACACCACCAAACATCTGTGTCCTCCATCCAGCAATGGACTCTCTGTGCAGATGCGTTGGCTTCATTTGAGAGCTACCTTTCACTGTGGGCAACTTGAGAGGTTGCAAAGGATGCAATGAAAGATCCTGAAATTAGAGCTCAGAATTTAAATGGAAAAGTTAAACTTCCTCTTGGTATTTGTGACATTCTGTACCTTGGGGGAACACCCAGCACCCCCATGTTCATCCTTGTAAAATAATTGTGTGGTATCCAATGCAAAGTTTGTTGTGTCGGGTGTCTTCAGAAGGCTCATGATGCATTGAGCATTGTTGTTATAGTAATGTTACAGTAATGTCATAGGTTATAATTTCATGTATATAGTTATGAGGCTGAAAATGTGTCTTCAAGTCTTAAAATAAACCCAGGCAAAAACTCTCCAAGAGCAGAGAGGCAGCTCACACCTCATCAGGGCAGGTATGGGACAAACCCAGCCCAGCCTCACAGGAACAAAGGACGCTGGCCTAGGCAGCAACAAAAGAATCTTTCGGACTTCCAGTGAGTCACCCCCTTTCCTTTGGCCAGTTTGGGACTGCGATAAGGTAATGCTCACCTGACTCTCAAGGAGAGGAGGCAAAGCCAAGAGGGAAGAAAGACCATGACAAAAGGGAAAGACATTTGCCATGCTCACTCTCTCTTCCACCTACATCTACAGACACCACCATCAAGCGACTGAAGCGCTGATCAAAGGGGAGAGCCTTTCTGAAGAGCAACCAGCCAGCCTGTGGTGAGAAGCATCTACGTTTGTAAGGGCACTGAAAGTGTTAAGATCAGTTTAGAATGCGTTTTGCTTTTATTTCATTTGAGCAAATCTGACTTGTTGTGCTTTGACTTATAGTCACTTAAAATCTCTCTTTTTGTAGTTAATAAATGTGTTGGTTTATTCTACCTGAAGCAGTGCGTTCAGTTTGAAGTGTATCAGAGACTCCCTTTGGGATAACGAGCCTGGTACAGATCAATTTCTTTGTTAAATTGATGAACTCATATAAGCTTGCAGCGTCCAGAGGGCATAACTGGACACTGCAAGACGGAGGTTCCTAGGGTTGTGTCTGGGACTGGAGATATTGGCCAGTGTCATTCAGTTGCAAGTAGCTGGGAGCAGCTTACATGCTAGAGGCTGTGTGTGAACAGCCCAGGAGTGGGGGTTCTCACAGCAGAGCAGGGTAAGGCTGGTTCCCAGAGTCAAGGATTGGAGTGACCTAGCAGATCACTGGTCCAGATAACACCAGAGGGGAATGTCACAGTATTGAACTAAGTTGAGAAGTCCTAAAAACAGTAGACAGTATGTCATATTCTGCAAGGGTCAGACGTTTCAGCAATAGGTCAATCTCATATGAAAATGACACTGAATTCACTTCATTCCATCCAATCGGATGAAAACTACAACTTACTCTGGGAGCAAATCTGCCAAAGAAGTTTGAAATTGAAGATAGAAGGCATGAGCTTCCAAGAAAGAAAAGTTCCTAAGGAAATGGAAATAGGAACAGGTGAACTCAGCTACCCAAATACAGCAAAGGAATTTGATTAGTACATCTACTTCAAAGTACTGTAATTTATTTTACAATGTCTAGTGTTCAATCAAGATTTGAACAGAGAGGCTACAAATTATTAAAAATAATATGCTCATAACAACACAAAATGTAACAGGAATGCAATTTCAAGATGTGCTACAGGTGTATGGTTCCGATTTCAACCATGATCAACTGGTTACTCAGCCTCATCTATTTCAAGTCAACTGTCAGCTTACAGAAAGATCAGTGAAAGCTGTTCATAATATCTCAGCTTGCTCTGCCAAACCAAACATTGGCTGTTTTCCAAAGTGGTGAAGTTGATATACCTGATTTTGATGGAACAGCAACCAACAGTGTAAGTGAAGGTAGTTTCCGCACTCTTCAGCGTATTAAACCATGGCTTTGATCCACAATGGGACAATCACAGCTCAGCTGGTATGTGATTGTTTACATGTACACTAGGACAAAGTTGATAACTTACAGATGTTGCAGAAGAATTCATTGCAAGCAACGCAGGGCAAAGATCATTGTTTGCAACTTTTTCACATTTGTAAATTGTTCTTTTTATTCCTGTTTTATGTTTTTGTGAGCAGTTTTGTGCCATGACTAAATTTGTGAGCTAAACGAGCTCTGGTTCCAAACTCTGTGCCTCCTTGAATTATTAATGTAATCCCTACATTCTGGGGAGCTAAAAGCACCCAAGCCCCTGTTCTCTACACCCATGACATGAGTGGTACTAGGTGGAGTATGATCTGGCCAGTTGGGAATTTCTTTGGAGCCGGCTCTGCCCCACCAACATAGGGGCTGTGTCAGGAGAGAGAGGAGACGTAATGGGAGTGGGGGGAGGCAGAATTGGATGGGGTGAAACTTTGCTCCCCTACACTTGTTCTTAGTTGGCCTATGGTCCCTTAGCATCCAATGCCCCTGCCCCGTACCTGTATTGTGCAGGAGAGAATCTGGCCCAGGATTTTTGCTGTTGAGTTCCTTGTTGATTCCAGAGGTGGTTCCCCCATTCTCCATTATGCTGCATCTCACTGGGGAGGGTGGGGGCACAGGGTTGTACTGCACCAGCATGTCCTATAGGTGGTGAGAATTGCTGTCTGTGTCTCTGTGCCCTAGGAATTAGCCCAGCTCCCTTTGCAGCTGGACGTCCTTCAGCACATGGTAGAAGTCTACCAGGTGGAGCTGAAGGGCATGAGACTGATGGCTGTGGATGCCACCAAAGCGACAGAAGAAGCCAAGGTGAGAACTCTGCTTGGGAATCAGGTACTGGGCATGTTGGGAGAGGTCCTGGCTCAAGGGCTGCAGAGTCTGTTGCATGCAGTGACCTTTCCAGAGATGACTTAGGCCCCTTCTCTGGTTAATTTTCTTGCCATAAAGAGCAGAACTGGGGATTCCAGTGCCCACCAGGCTCCTCCTGCCTCACACCTGGGTGCTGGGGATAGCTTGCTGAAAGCACTAGGTATGAAATACCCAGACAGGTTCAAACCCTGGCTGCTCCAGCGTTCCAGGCAGTTTATTTTGTGGAGAGTCTTTTGGAAAAGACCTTAAAAGCTGAGGCCCTGCCTGCTCTGCACAGGCACTAAAGATCCCAGGGCACATTTCATAGGATGTGGGGGCTTGCCGAGGCATCCTTGGCCAAAAATACCCCCGCGCTGTGCAGTGCGCTATGGGCCAGTTGTCTGCCACGCTCTGCCCCAGAGGTGGCTGCATTGCAGCAGTGCTGTGGGGATGCAGCTTGTGCAGTACTGTGGCATGGAAGGGGCTTTATTGATGTGATGATTGTTATTCCCTTCCCTGGCTGTGCCACACTCCAGACGGACATGACCAATATGGAAACCGAGTTCATTGCAGAGAGAAGGTTCAGGGAGAATTCCCTAAACTTCCAAAAGAAGCAGATTGACAGGATCCGGGTCAAGGATGCGAGCGAGCGGCACAGGAGAGTGGTGAGTCCACGTGAGCTATGGGTGCAGAAGGGCAAGTGAGTTCACACTGTGTGCCTGGCTTGGGGATCATGAATGGGAAGTTCGCCCCAGCAGGGGAATATTGACAGCCTTCTCGACCCTGACAGCCCCTAGCACGGGATGCTTGTGGGGTGAGCTGCAGCTGTCCAGTTATCATCAGCTCCTGTGGCTTGACTTATGGAATCCAATGTGAAGTGCAGCCTTGGGCTGGGGTCTCTTTGGCTCCCAGAAGCTAAGCACAGCCAGTGTTTGGGTGGGAGAGTGATCTCCATGAGGAGCAGTGTTGGTGATGTAGCCCTTGCCCTGACTCCAGCCACTGCAGATGGACCTGTCCTAGGCGATTCTCTCCTTTAAGTCAGGAGGGCTACTGCTGGAAATGGTGCTCTTTGGATGAGCCAGAAACCCAAGGCCTGGCTCTTGGTTACAATCATCCTTTGCCCCCATCACTCCTTCCAGCCATGGGTCTTCAAACAGAAAGAATGAAGCCTCTCAACCTCCCGTGAGGTAGATCAGTACCATTATCCCCACTTTACAGGTGTGGAAACTGAGGCACAGAGAGGGGCAGTGACTTCTGCCAGGTCACAAAATGAGCCTGTGGCAGAGCTGGGACTAGGACCCAGGAGTCCTAGCGCTGTACTATAACTGCAGGACCAGCCGCTTCCTCATACAAGAAATGAGTTGTTATCCCCAGTGCCGGCCAGGCCCCAGCTTGGGTAATGACATTCACCTACTTAAGGCTCCCCCTTCAGGGTCACTTGGAAAAATTGTCCTTCTCTCCTTAGCCAGAAAGCAGTAGGAGGTCGCTGGTGCAGGATGGGTGCTATATCCCACCCCAGAGGTGGCCACATGACAGCATTGGCTCAATGAGTGATGACCACGTGTGCTGGATATGTAGCTTCATATCTGGATCATTACCTCTTGGGTTGGCTCTGCCCTGAGGCCAGTTTGGCTTGGCGTGGTCCAGGTGCCTCATTTCCTCCCATGCTTTTCTATGACTCATTGGGTTGCTTCTAATTCCCTTGCAGCAGGCCAGGCGAGAGCTCAATGTGGATTTCCCAGTCCTGATATTGCATGAGTCGCTGAAAGGTGAGGTTGCATTTTGGCCAGGCCCGCTACTGGAAGCTTCCTCTGCTGTGCACATGCTGATGGAGAGGAGGGACTGGAGCCCAATACCCTGAGGGGTTAGAGTTCGTAACTCCAGGAGCTGCTCCAGGGTGCAGCGTTCGTAACTCCAGGAGCTGCTCCAGGATGTAGCATTTGTAACACCGGGAGCTGCTCCAGGGTGCAGCATTTGTAACTCCAGGAGCTGCTCCAGGGTGTAGCATTCGTAACTCCAGGAGCTGCTCCAAGGTGCAGCGTTCGTAACTCCGGGAACTGCTCCAGGGTGTAGCGTTCGTAACTCTGGGAGCTGCTCCAGGGTGTAGTGTTCGTAACTCCGGGAGCTGCTCCAGGGTGTAGCCTGCTGAAGGCTCAGGCAGCATCTCAAGTCCACTGAAAATAGGTTTTGGCCGCTGCCTGAGGCAGGGTATCAGGCGGTGGAGTATGAATATCCAGCTTGGAGACATGGACAATCCTGGTTTCTGGGAGTGGCTATTTCTCTTCTGCCTGGAGTCTTTTCCCAGAGAACACACTCAATGAGTATTCGTCACTGGTAGCTCCGGGTGGGAGACATCTGCTCCCATGAGACCTCATCCTGCTCTTGTTGAGGTTAATGGGGACAGCACTGACCCCAAGCCTGGGTAAAATTCAGCCCAACCCAAGGCTCCCTGCACCACTTAAGCCTCTTGGTGGGGCACCACTATGTGGGCAGTGTTATGTTCATGGAACACACACAGAGAAGTTAGATAAAAAACATAAATATTCTTGCTGGAAGTTGTAACGTTAAACAACTTTATTTCTTAGATTCCAGAACAATAACACACAAGAACCAAAATCAGAGAGAGACAAAGCAGGCTGCTCCCTACAGCAAAGAGACACAACTTACTCCACCTCACTCTAGGCTGGCTGGCTGCAGACTGGCCGCTCAAGGGCCGGATTGCACACTTCCCTTGCACAGAGCCCCCTTAGCCTAGCTAGCCTACAAGCAGAACCCCGTACAAATTTAATAATGATACTCGGTCCTTTTGACACGGTTGTCAATACAACTCGGGGAGCTGCCTCTGGGCCCCTGCATACCAGGAAGGGTTTTTCTTCTTTGGCCCTGCATGGGGACGGACAGAGGGACCTGGCTCAAGGGTGGCATTAATGTGGGAGACAGACCTTGCTAGGAGCAGGACATGATTAGCTAATGAGAGCCTGTCTTTGTATTCGAATGCTTAACCTAGTGTTTCATTGGTCAAGTGAGTTGTCCCTGGCCATGTTGCTGTAGATTTGTGGGGGGGAGTTCTGGGAGGTTTTAGGGAATGTCTCTCTAGCTCTTATCTGAACTCAGTTGTTATTTTATACCTTGCCCATAGACTCTTCATTCCTGCTGATCCAACCGCTGGCCGTCGTTCGGATGTCATTGCGTGATCCCCTGCCCACCTGCCCTGTTCCACCCCCTCCTCTGGCCACCAAGCCTGCCCCAGACTGGGGGATATAACTCTGGTCTTCTCTCTGCTGCTTCCTCCCCACGCCTAGGTGCAAGGCTGGAGGCCTCCAAAGCCCAGATTGAGCATCAGGCCCAAGTGACGTCTGAGGTAGACAAGATAAAGTGTGCAGTGCAGTGCTCACACCTCTGGGTAAGGCACTCAGGGCTACGTGGCTTGGGGGCTTTGCTTCTAGGGAGGTAATGCCAGATTGTCAGCCCTGGAGGCCAAAAGCTCCTGTCCTGTGTGGACATAGGTGCTGGAACTAGGGGTGCAGGGGTTGCTGCTGCACCCCCTGGCTTGAAGCGGTTTCCATCATATACGGGGTTTACCCTTTGGGTCAATGGGTCTCAGCACCTCCACTCTACCAATTGTTCCAGCATCCCGGGGTGTGGATAGCTTCCCCCATGCCATGCCCATGTCCTTGTCCTGTCCTGGCTGCCAGGCCAGGGATCAGCTAAGAGCATGGGTGTGCCACTGCTAAGGAGATGTAATATTCATACCAGGGTGACTAGGTGTATGCCCGTGTTGATCCTCTGAAGCGTCTAGGGAGTGGTATCCCCAGAAGCCTGAGCAGACTCGCCCAGAGCTGAGTGCTTGTCTCTCTCAACAGCCCTGACTGCTGAGAGCATCCTGGCGACTCTCTCAGGGCATCCTGTGTGTTGGGAGCTGCTGTCTGAGCCCCCTTCTGCCTTGGCACAGACTGGCTGGACAGTGTGCTGCTCCTTTCCTTCCCGTTTGCTCCAACTTACCAGAGCAGTTTGATTTGCAGAGCTAAGGAAGCAGCAGTCACTCTGTCGTGAGGGGACGAGACCCTTGGGACGTGCACCAAGGGAAAAGAGGCGTCAGAGAGTCAGATCCGAGCTCCTGACTCAGCTCTGAATTGGAACTGTTGCCTGATTAAGGACTGAGGAGTGAGTCCAGTGCTCAGGATCTGGCCCACTGATGCCAGGCCCCAGTAGGCAGGGATGGCCTTAGACAAGGGCTAAGAAGCCACCTGCAACATCTAAGGGGCTTTGCTGGGGTCTAATGTGGGACCCCAAGGCCACAGCCTGTTGCTGCACTGCTCCTACTGAGGAGTCCCTCCAATGAGCCCCCAAAATAGTGATAATATCCCTGTAACTGGGCAGTGCTGATCTCACATGCTCCAGGGTGTGGCCCGAATGGCTGGCATAAGCCCGCTGCACTCCAAAAGTGGAGCTGGGATCATAGAATCATAGAATCATAGAATATCAGGGTTGGAAGGGACCTCAGGAGGTCATCTAGTCCAACCCCCTGCTCAAAGCAGGACCAATTCCCAACTAAATCATCTCAGCCAGGGCTTTGTCAAGCCGGGCCTTAAAAACCTCCAAGGAAGGAGATTCCACCACCTCCCTAGGTAACGCATTCCAGTGCTTCACCACCCTCCTAGTGAAATAGTGTTTCCTAATATCCAACCTAGACCTCCCCCACTGCAACTTGGGACCATTGCTCCTTGTTCTGTCATCTGCCACCACTGAGAACAGCCAAGCTCCATCCTCTTTGGAACCCCCCTTCAGGTAGTTGAAAGCAGCTATCAAATCCCCCCTCACTCTTCTCTTCTGGAGACTAAACAATCCCAGTTCCCTCAGCCTCTCCTCATAAGTCATGTGCTCCAGACCCCTAATCATTTTTGTTGCCCTCCGCTGGACTCTTTCCAATTTTTCCACATCCTTCTTGTACTGTGGGACCCAAAACTGGACACAGTACTCCAGATGAGGCCTCACCAATGTCGAATAAAGGGGAACAATCACGTTCCTCGATCTGCTAGCAATGCCCCTACTTATACAGCCCAAAATGCCGTTAGTCTTCTTGGCAACAAGGGCACACTGTTGACTCATATGCAGCTTCTCATCCACTGTGACCCCTAGGTCCTTTTCTGCAGAACTGCTACCTAGCCATTTGGTCCCTAGTCTGTAGCAGTGCATAGGATTCTTCCGTCCTAAGTGCAGGACTCTGCACTTGTCCTTGTTGAACCTTATCAGGTCTTTTTGGCCCAATCCTCTAATTTGATCTCATAGGTCCTGTATTCTTCAAGGTCTGATGCATTTTGTTTTGATGCCTCCTCCTCCTCCCTCCTGGCCAGGACATCGCAGGGAGGTTCCTGGCCCAGCAGAAGACTGGGGAGAACCTGCAACAGCAGATAGTGGAGTGTGGGCAGAAGCGTGAGGAGCTGGAGACCAAGCTGAAGGAGCTGGAACTGGAACGTGCTGAGCTGAAATTCCACCAGACCCCAAGTTCCATAAGGTACATATTTACCCCTGCACATTGATGGCTGGGCTCTGTGCTGCCATCATTTGCTCCTGCGTCTTCACCCTGATGACTTAGCTTCTGACAGGAGGGCACATCATAGAATATCAGGGTTGGAAGGGACATTAGGAGGTCATCTAGTCCAACCCCCTGCTCAAAGCAGGACAAATCCCCAGACAGTTTTTTTTGTTTTGTTTTTTTACCCCAGTTCCCTATTGAGCTCATAACCCTGGGTTTAACAGGCCAATGCTTAAACCACTGAGCTATCCCTCCCCCATGTTGCAATTCAGGCTCATAGAGTACATTTTCTACCATGGTTGGTGCCAGCCCCGTATCTACTGGTGCTCTGGGTGTGAGGATGGGATCTGATGTCCTCTAAATTGACACTAAACTGGGAGGAGTGGTAGATACGCTTGAGGGTAGGGATAGGATACAGAGGGACTTAGACAAATTAGAGGATTGGGCCAAAAGAAACCTGATGAGGTTCAACAAGGACAAGTGCAGAGTCCTGCACTTAGGACGGAAGAATCCCATGCACTGCTACAGACTAGGGACCGAATGGCTAGGAAGCAGTTCTGCAGAAAAGGACCTAGGGGTTACAGTGGACGAGAAGCTGCATATGAGTCAACAGTGTGCCCTTGTTGCCAAGAAGGCTAACGGCATTTTGGGCTGTATAAGTAGGGGCATTGCCAGCAGATTGAGGGACGTGATCGTTCCCCTCTATTCGACATTGGTGAGGCTTCATCTGGAGTACTGTGTCCAGTTTTGGGCCCCACACTACAAGAAGGATGTGGAAAAATTGGAAAGAGTCCAGCGGAGGGCAACAAAAATGATTAGGGGGCTGGAGCACATGACTTATGAGGAGAGGCTGAGGGAACTGGGATTGTTTAGTCTCCAGAAGAGAAGAATGAGGGGGGATTTGATAGCTGCTTTCAACTACCTGAAAGGGGGTTCCAAAGAGGATGGATCTAGACTGTTCTCAGTGGTGGCAGATGACAGAACAAGGAGTAATGGTCTCAAGTTGCAGTTGGGGAAGTTTAGGTTGGATATTAGGAAAAACTTTTTCACTAGGAGGGTGGTGAAGCACTGGCATGGGTTACCTAGGGAGGTGGTGGAATCTCCTTCCTTAGAGGTTTTTAAGGTCAGGCTTGACAAAGCCCTGGCTGGGATGATGTAGTTGGGAATTGGTCCTCCTTTGAGCAGGGGGTTGGACTAGATGACCTCCTGAGGTCCCTTCCAACCCTGATACTCTATATTCTTCTAAATCCTCACAGCCTTCTCCCTTCCCCCCACCAATGCACTTGGTCCTCTGCATTTCTGCAGGGCACATCTTTAATTCCCCTGGAATCCTATGCACTGTATGCATCAGTGCTTCAAAAGCAATGACATGGCATCGGGGGCAAAGGATTTTGGTATGTGTCCGAGACCCACAAGTACTACTGCACATAGCTGTGCAGAACCAAGGTCCCTCTTGGAGGGAGCAGGGCATTCTCAGCAGCAGGCCTTCACTTCCAGAATTTGCCCCTCCTGGAAACACATGAAAGCCAGGCCTTGTAAGATGCACTTCACAGCCCAGGCTGCCACCAGCTGTAGGCTCCAGAATCCCGGGCAAGGTGCCCACTGGTTAGATTTCCTCCATGCCTGCCCTTTAACATTGCTGTGGTGCAGGATTTGCGGTGTGTGTGCTCCTGTATAGTGTCTGATAGCGCTTATCTAAGCCACGTAAAGAGCATCCAGATGCTGTGTGGATGGGGCTCCATAAGTATAATCCGAATGAATAACAGCCTCCCTTGGCCCTGTGTGTGTGCGTGTATGTGTGTATACGCGTGTGCGTGTGTGTTTATGTGTGTGTATGTGTGTGGGTGTGCCTCTGTGTGCGTGTATGTGCATGTGTGTGTGTGTGCGTGTGTGTGCATCCTCTAGCTCTAGGAAACTGGCGGAAGAACTGAAGAAGAATTTGGAGGCGGAAGAGGTCCGGCTACACCAAGTGCACACCCAAATGCTGAAGAATCAGGAGCTTCTGCTCAGCTTTGAAAACGGCGTTGACAACCTCCTAATTCGCCTGTGCGGGATCACTGTGCCTGGCCATGTATGTGCCCTAAATCCCCTCCCTCCTGCCCTTCCTGTCACCGTGCGGAGCTGGGCTGGGCAGGAGAGGGCTCTCTGCTCCTACCTCTTCAGCATCATGTAACTAAGCTCACCCCCAAACCCACTACATCATCATCGCCACCTTGTCATTCCCACAGAGAAGCGGTTCTCTCCCTCACTCGTGGGCAGTGTATTGCATGCTCGCTCTCCATGCTGCTACAGCAGCCTTCACAAAGCTGTTGCCACTCCTGGTACAGCTCTCAGCATCAGCTTGGTGTGCCCGCCCCTGTGTCTCCCCCGCTTTTCTGGGCTACCAGTGTTCCTCCACTGGGAATGTGCCCTGCACCTGCCTAGCCCAGCATTGCTCTGCTCCCAGACCTGGTTCAGTGTGGGGCCTGTAGACCCCATCACACGCTCAGACACAGCAGATTGCATGCTCTTTCCATTTCCAAAGGCTAGAACTATAGCAGGGTTCAAAAAAGAATTAGCCAAGTTCAGGGGGGAGAGGTCCATCAGTGGCTAATAGCCAGGATGGTCAGGGATGCAACCCCATGCTCTGGGTGCAGGGTTGACAGATTCTTCCTAAAAGTGTGTGTGTGGGGGGGGGGCACAGCTGCCCGTGCAGCTCTTACCCCAACCCGACTCCGGCTTCAGGCCTGGCCTGACGGTGGGGCCCTGGGGGCCAAAGAGCTGCAGCTGGGTCACGGTAAGAGCCGTCTGTGCCGCTGTGGGGAGCTGCAGAGCCTCCATCTGCCTGGAGTGGGGGGCTGGGACACAGGCCAGAAGCTGCACTCGGGCCTCCCCACCCCGGGTAGATGGATGGTCCGCAGCTCCCCACAGCTGCCCAGGCTCCCTGGACACTCTTACCCGGGCTGGGTTTCAGCTGGCCGGGGGACGGGGGCTCATGGAGAAGAGAAGGGGCAGGGGACCAGGGCCATGGCAAAAAGTGGACGGACTATGGCCTCTTGGCCTCCCCTGTTCTGGCACCCCAATCTGGGTGTCCCTAGCCTCTGACAGCCAGAAGCTTGGATTGGATGGCAGGGGATGGATCACTTGATGATTGCCTGCCTGTGCAGTTCATTCCCTCTGAAGCACCTGGCATTGGCTCAGCCACTGCTACGTAGCTATTTGTATGTGTACTAGCTCGATGAGAGAATGGGTATGCAAGCAATGCAGACATCACCTAAAAGGGCTCTCTTCCCCGCCACTCAAATAGAAATTCCCCTCCTAAAGATTAATGGGGCAGTTCACTCTGCTCAGAGCTCCTGCTTCATGCTGGCTGGCTGCAGACTCAGGCAGACCTCACTGCATCAGTTTATGTCTGGGTCATATTTTGAAGGGTTTTTTTAGACCCGCAATAAAGGTCTCCCTACGGAATGGGGAGCAGGCAGATACTGGACGCAGCACTGGTATATAATACTCTAAATGCTCTTTATTTATTATAAAACAAACCTTACTCCACATTCACACCCCAAACATACTATACTAGAGTCCAAAGGTCAGAATGGTCCCGATGGCCAGTTGAGGTTCCTTCTGATCATAAGATCATAAGATGCGGGGAGCCAGCAAAAACCACATCTATATCCACATGGGACTCTGGATCAATAAATGACTCTGATTTGCAGAAATCATAGGCACCATTTATAGTCCATTCCGTCGCGTCCTCGTTTCTTTGCCTTTGTTTACTAGGCCTTCTACCCACACAATTCCAAAGATACTATATATACTCGTTCATAAGCCGAATTATTTTAGTAAAAAAGGGAAGCACCAGAGAAGGGGCTCGGCTTATGAATGGGTATAGAGAGGGAGAGGTGGGACACCGCCCCTCCCTCCAACAGAGGGGGCAAGGAGAGGCAGCACAGCCAGCAGAGCCAGAAGGGAAGAGGAGGGGCCAGGGTCTCTCTGCTTCCCGCCACGCTGCTCTCCCCCAGCGTCCGAAGCAGCTGCAGCTCCGGGGCTGACAGGCTGCAGCCGTGCCGCTCGGCCCCACCTCCCAGAGCAGGCTGTGGCTGTGCAGCCCGGGTGCCGGAGCACGCTGCAAGCGGGCCTGGACACTTTGCTTACTTAGGTTTACCTCCGTGCCTGCGGACGCTCGAGGTAAACAAACCATCTGGCCCACCAGTGGCTTATTCTGATAGCCCGGGAGCCAAAGTTTGCCAACCCCTGAATTATAGGGTCGGCTTATGAATGGGTCATAAAAAATTTCCATTTTTACTTATCCATCTTGGGGGGGGGGGCGGCTTATAAACGAACGGGCTTATGATCGAGTATATACGGTATATTTATATCTATATCATCTATATATATATCTTTGGAATTGTGTGGGTAGAAGGCCTAATATATATATATATTAGAGCTGTCAAGCGATTAAAAAAATTAATCGCGATTAATCATGAGATTAATCACACTGTTATACAATAAAAGAATACCATTTATTTAAATATTTGTGGGTGTTTTCTACATTTTCAAATAGATTGATTTCAATTACAACATAGAATACAAAGTACAGTGCGCACTTTATATTTATTTTTGACTACAAGTATTTGCACTGTATAAAAATAAAATAAATAGTATTTTTCAATTCACCTAATACAAGTACTGTAGTGCAATCTCTTTATCATAAAAGTTGAACTTACAAATGTAGAATTATGTAAAAAAAAGCATTAAAAATAAAACAATGTAAAATTTTAGAGCCTGCAAGTCCACTCAGTCCTACTTCTTGTTCAGCCAATCGCTCAGACAAACAAGTTATTTATATTTGCAGGAGATAATGCTGCCCGCTTCTTGTTTACAATGTCACCTGAAAGTGAGAACAGGCATTCTCATGGCACTGTTGTAGCCAGAATCACAAGATATTTACGTGGCAGATGGGCTAAAGATTCACGTGTCCCTTCATCAGAGACTGCTTTAACATGAAATATATGGCAGAATGCAGGTAAAACAGCGCAGGGGACATACAATTCTCCCCCAAGGAGTTCACTCACAAATGTAATTAACGCATTATTTTTTTAACAAGCGTCAGCTGCATGGAAGCATATCCTCTGGAATGGTGGCCAAAACATGAAGGGGCATATGATTGTTTAGCATATCTGGCACGTAAATACCTTGCAATGCCAGCTACAAAAGTCCCATGCAAGTGCCTATTCTCACTTTCTGGTGACATTGTAAATAAGAAGTGGGCAGCATTATCTCCCGTAAAAGTAAACAAACTTGTTAGTCTTAGGCCTGGTCTACACTAGGCGTTTATGTCGAATTTAGTGCCGTTACATTGAATTAATCCTGCACCCGTCCACACCACGAAGCTATTTAGTTCGACATAGAGGTCTCTTAAATTCAATTTCTGTACTCCTCCCCAACGAGGGGAGTAGCGCTAAATTCGACATGGCCATGTCGAATTAGGCTAGGTGTGGATGGAAATCGACGCTAATAGCTCCGGGAGCTATCCCACAGTGCACCACTCTGTTGACGCTCTGGACAGCAGTCCGAGCTCGGATGCTCTGACCAGCCACACAGGAAAAGCCCCGTGAAAATTTGAATTCCTTTTCCTGTCTGGGCAGTTTGAATCTCATTTCCTGCTTGGACATCGTGGCGAGCTCAGCAGCACTGGCAACGATGCAGAGCTCTCCAGCAGAGATGGTCATGCAATCTCAGAATAGAAAGAGGGCCCCAGCATGGACTGACCGGGAAGTCTTGGATCTGATTGCTGTGTGGGGCGATGAGTCCGTGCTTTCCGAGCTGCGATCGAAAAGACGGAATGCAAAGATCTACGAGAAGATCTCAAAAGCCAGGGCAGAGAGAGGATACAGCCGGGATGCAACGCAGTGCCGCGTGAAAATCAAGGAGCTGAGACAAGGCTACCAGAAGACCAAAGAGGCAAACGGACGCTCCGGATCCCAGCCCCAGACATCCCGTTTCTACGAGGCACTGCATTCCATCCTAGGTGCGGCCGCCACCACTACCCCACCACTGACCGTGGACTCTGAGGATGGGATATTGTCGACGGCCGGTTCCTCGGACATGTTAGCGGATGGGGAAGATGAGGAAGGAGATGAGGAGGACGAGGCAGTCGACAGCGCTTACAACGCTCATAGACTCATAGACTTTAAGGTCAGAAGGGACCAATATGGTCATCTAGTCT